ACTTGGAAGGCTGAGGCAAAAGGATTGCCGGAGCACAGCGGGCGAGGCTGCGGTGGCTGGGAGTGGCCACTGCACTCCAGTCTGGGCGACAAAGTGACTCCAACTCAAAAAAAAAAAGTGATTAAAAAGGCATATCAATGATCATAATAAAGAATTCAGAATTCTTTAGATTCTGAATCAAACAAACATTAAAAAAAAAAAAAGACACATGAAGGCTGGGCATAGTGGCTCATGTCTGTAATCCCAGCACTTTGGGAGGCCGAGGAGGGAGGATTGCTTGAGCCCAGGAGTTTGAGCCCAGCCTAGACAACATAGTGAGACCCCCATCACTACAAAGTTTTAAAAATTAGCTGGGCATGGTAGATTGTGTCTGTAATCCCAACTGCTCAGGAGGTTGAGGTGGAAGGATTGCCTGATCCCAGACGGTCAAGGCTGCAGTGAGCTGTGATAGTGCCACTGCACTCCAGCCTGGGCAACAGAGTAAGACTCTGATTAAAAAGAAAAAGAAAAAGAAAGGAAGGAAGGAAGGAAGGAAGAAAGAAAAAGGAAGGACACATTAAATAATTGGAAAAAAAGACACATTAAATGGTTGGAAACCTGATATTTGATGACATTAAGGAATTGGTTTTAACATTTTAAGATGTGGTATGGCTATATTTTCTTTTCTTTTTTTTTTCTTTTCTTCCCCAACCCCAACCTCCATGTTTTGGAGCAAAGGCCACAGAACTTGTTGATGGACTGACGTGTGAGGTGAGAAAAGAAAAGAATCAAGTTTAACTAAATCTTTTCTAAAGAGGTTGAGTTGATTTAATCTATTGACACCATTTACAAATAAAATGATAAAATGACTGGAATTTACTTCCAAATAATACAGGTTGGGAAAAGGGGAAAGTAATTGGAGATGAAGACACAAGACTGATCATGAGTTAATAATTATTGATAAGTACACAAAGGAGTTCCTTATAATATTCTGTTTACCTTTGTATATGTTTAAACTTTTGCATAACAAAGCAAAATCTTTTTTAAAAATTTAAATAAAAATAAATGTTAAATAACAAAACAAAGAAAATTAGGTGGGCTGGGGCCAGAACAGGCAGCCCTTCCAAGCCAGGTCAGGAATTTGTGTTTTATTCTAAATGCAATAGGAAGCCACTCTGATTTACATATCTAAAAGATCCCTCAGACTGCTGTAGGGAGATGCAGAGACCAGTTGAGACCCTGGGCCAAGATCCGGGGTGGAATATGATGCTAGACTAGGGTGAAATAGGTAAGACGAAAATAAACAGAACAGACAGCTAAGCACATGTTTTGGAACAAAGGCGACATAACTTACTGATGGACTGACGTGGGAGGTGAGAAAAGAAAACAATCAAGTTTAATTAAATCTTTTCCCCTGAGCAGCTGGGTATCATTTATCCAGATGGGGAAAACTGGAGGACTACCAGATTTGAGGTGGCAGTCGGGGGTGGGATTCAGAACCTCTACTTTCGGCCCAGCTCAGTGGCTCAGCCTGTAATCCCAGCACGTTGGGAGGCCGAGGCAAGTGGATTGCCAGAGCCCGCGGGTTCAAGACCCGCCCGGGGAACTTGGCAAGACCTCGTCTCTACAGTAAATAAAAAACTAGCTGGGTGTGGTAGCACGCACCTGTAGTCCTGGCTACTTGGAAGGCTGAGGGGGAAGGATCACCGGAGCCCAGCAGGTCAAGGCTGTGGTGGCTGGGAGCATGCCACTGCACTCCAGTCTGGGCAACAGAGTGAGACTCCAACTCAAAAAAAAGGGGGGGGGCCCTCTGAAATTAACATTTCAAAATGTGAATTAAGTTCAGGGCCAGCCATGGTGGTGCATGCCTGTAATCCCAGCACTTTGGGAGGCTGAGGCAAGATGATTGCCTGAGCCCAGAAGTTCAAGACCAGCTTGGGCTACATAGCAAGACCCAGCCTCTAAAATAAATTTTTAAAAATTAGCTGGACATGGTGGCACATGCCTGTAGTCCCATCTACTTGGGAGGCTGAGGCGGTAGGATCTCCTGAGCTCAGGAGGTTGAGGCTGTTGTGAGCTGTAATCATGCCACTGTTACTTCAGCCTGGGTGACAGAATGAGATCCTTGACTCAAAAAAAAAAAAAAGAAAAAGAAAAAAATTAAGT